ACACAGCGTCGGTTTGAACGAACGGTACTATGGCAGCCACTATAGTCTTAGAACACAAGATAGGAAGAGTTACGAGTTGGGAATGACTCCCAGCTCCTACAAACCCCAAGAGCCGAGGTACAGTGATGTGGAACAGTGCCACACTGTCCCCAACCACGAAGGGTCTCGAAACTACCCTCCACAAGGGCCTACACCAAGAGAAATGTTACACTACACAAAGTAATGCAACTATTCTCACTATCTTAAAGTTTACCCTTTTTGGAGAGCTTCGAAATCACTTGATTCTTGAAACCAAGGCTCTGGTTCTTCAAGGTAAATTCTTCCTTGAGTTCTTGAAAGTCTGCTGCGCACACCTGCGACACGTCGAACGTTCCACACACGACAAAAATAGAAAAAACGCACACGACACGCAAACAACGACGTCGCACGCAACTAGCGATAACTCGCTATTGACTCGACACACACATTCAAAATCATGCCTCATCATTCACACACTATTGTAAGCATGAAATATATATTATTTCATGCCCTCATACCATTCCATGCATACACGCATGCACGCACACGGACAACAAGCCGACTGCAAACCGTAGGGTTGCACCAACAGTTGGCCACAGTGATGATGACTTCGCGCTGAAGTTGATGTTCTTGTTGGAGGAAACGACTTGAGGAACACATATGTTGTCCGCAGCAACTGTCCAAGAACCAAGTGTCTTGCCCGGACGGCTCGCTTTGGGCGATAGCTGCTTACGTCGGATTGGGTTCCAGTGATTCGCGGCGGGGAGTCCTTTCATCGAGTTGGTCTTCTGGTGAGTAGTGGGGTGGTGATTCGGTGATGCAGGAGTCCGTCGTTCTTGTCATGCAGCTAATGATGTTTCTTGTTCCTTGTGCAGATTGCGATGTTGAAGATGTTGAAGGTTGCACTTGACTGGTGGGATGTGCATTCGTAGAAGCTACTTGATTGCTTGAAGGCCGAAGTTGACGTTGCGGTGTTGTCGACTGCTGCTGATTCGGGCGATGTGTGCGCGGATGACCGGACGTCTTGCAAAGATGACAAAACGGTGGGACATACTGTTGTACTTGTCAGTTGTTGTGTCGGTTGTTGTTGTTGTTGTAGCGTCGTTGAGTATGGAAGGCGAACTCCGGTGTTAATGCTTTCTTCTTGTGTCGTTCTTCGTGCAGGTCCATATCCTGCTGTTCGGCGTGAATTTCGGCACAGAGTGCTGCTTCGAAGATCTTCCCGTGAGCTCGAAGGAGTGCTCGAGTGGAGCGCCAATGAGGACCAAGACCGGCGATGATAACTGTTACAAATGCTTCTTCCGAAATTGATCCTCCGCATCGAAGAAGTCTGTCGCGCAGTCCGCGACAACGACTAATATAAGCCATTCCCTTTTCGCCGGGTTTCATTTCGACTGTTGTCAACTGTGCCATGAGTCGACTCTGGTTAACGCTGTCTGTTGCTTGATACAGGCTCTTCAGATGGTCGTATGCCAACTCGGCGGAGTTGCCGTATCCTCAATAAGACCGGATGTTCTGTTGCTCGTTTGGCGTTAAGTTTCAAAGAAGTACCGTATATGCCATCAGCGACTGATACGTATATTGCTGCTTGTCGTACTGTTTCCCGTGTGCCGGATATGGCAGGGACCCGTCGAAGAATCCGAGGATGTACGCGCCCTCCATCATCAGCTCAAATTCGAATGACCAGGTATAAAAATCTTTCCCGTCGAAGAGTGTTGATGTTTGCAATTTTAGGACGTGTGCGAATTGCGATTGCACCTGAAGCGCGTCCAGTGTCTTCTCTTGTCCAGGTGAAGACTGCGGCTGCGGTGCGAAACTGACAGAGCCGCGTTGAGGCTCATACGGGGCAAAGGTAGGTTGCTGTTGATTTCCACGCGCATAGGATGAATCGTCGAGGCTCATCGGAGTTGCTCTGTTGTTGTTGTCGCTGTTGTTTGATTGCGCAGGAGCTGCTTGCTGGTGTTGCTCGTAGAAGGACATGAAGGAGAAAAACTTCTCCATCATACTTGGGTCGAAGCTTGCTGCTTGGTTTCCGGGAGTTTCCGTTGACTCCGCAGCTGGTCATGTGGCTGTGCCTTCTTCTGTCTGTAGGCCAGAAGCTGGAGGTGGAGTAGGAGTAGTACCGAGAGATCCGTTGGAGGAGCTCCTCTCCTTTCGTGTTGCCATGTCTTGCGTTGTTGTAGATTATTTAAAAGGGGATGTTCTTGCCCAGCCTGCTCTCATACCATGTTGGGCTGAGAAAAAGCCCTTAGGATCTTTCAAGGCTAAGATCAGGTGTTGAAGTAGAGATGTTGTAATTGCGGAAGCGTTTAATATCAGAGTTGCCTTGAACCACCTTGCACTGGTGTGTGAGAACAAGATAAGTTGAATAATAGCAAAGAGATACAAGCCTTTTATATGATTACAGAGGAATATGAAAGTTCTATTTTAACTGTTTTTGCTGTTGCGGTTTGATACAGTGCCGACTCGGGTAACTACTCACTAACGAGTCAGTTATGTGTCCTTGCTGTCGCACTATATGTTTCGTCAAGTCAAAGGTCGGAGACCTTCGACCTTCGCGTAACCTCCGACGGTTGCTTTGGTTGACTCGAGTGTTTCTTCGATGTAGTCAGCTCCGTTTCGTGTCGAAGCAGCGATACGACAGAAGCGTTAAATTACTTGTTTCCAACATCTAGCACCGCTAAACCTACATTCTTGCCTTCACAAACAGCTAACAGGAGCAGCACCACTACCCGTCATCGCCCGGATATAAGACGTACGGTATATGTCTTATCTCGTACATGGGCAAAAATACTAGGGTTGTCTTGTATTTGGAAAGGTTTAGGGTGTCTTATAAGCAGGGCCTCAGATATCAGGAAAAAAACCCTGAAATTCCTGATTTTGGCAGTCCATTCTCAACCTACCCTGAAAAACCAGTGTTAAGATTTTTGTGGGACTGATCTTTCAGCCTTTTTTGTGAGGCCACACTGAAATTTCAGTTTTTTTTTTCCAAGTACACTGATGCCACAACGTTGAAACGAAACTAACTCTGAAAGCGATTCTTACCTGTGTCGTGTGGATTTGACCGCAATTACAGGGAATCTCAGATTCCCGTGGTGAAGGCACCGCGGGGCGAGACGAACCTGTGAAATTTTGCCTCGAATTCACGATTGAGCGGTGCTTTGTTGGCGCGGCGCCACACATCATTGGGCCGTTTTGCTGCAGCATCTTTTCTTGGCCAATCCGAACGTGGCCAGTGGCCACCATGTGGTGCTGGAGGGCTGCCAACGTTCCTGCCCCGTTGACAACCCAGCCCATGCACCGTGGTTGCCATCCAAGGGCCCCTTCTTCTCCAAGCTTTGCATCCGAAGCTGGGTTTCCCCCTTTCTTCCTAGTGTACCACCAAGAGGCAGCCAGCCGTGGCCTGTGCTTTTTCTGGAAACAATCCCTCTCATTGTTGCTAGCTTAGATGTCAGGCTGTACCCGCTGCTTACCATGGTGGAACACCTTAACGGCACGGAAACAAACGGCGAACACGGCGGTCAGGCGCATCGCCAGCCGCCTGTAGTCCGTTCTGAAGCAGTTACGGGCCTCGATTTATTGTTTTCGAGCATAGCGGAAGTCAACGACAACGAGAAGCCACCAGATCCCGAGCCGCCCGACAAAATCCCGTTCGAACACATCGATGAGGAGGGTTGGTGTGCATCCCCGACAGCGCCAGTCACGGAGCAGGACAGCTCGCCGCCTCCAGCTGAAAAACTGGCTCCCGAACCCGTGACCAAGAAATCCAGCCGATACATGCAGTCAAGGCTGCCATGGTTTACAAAGGGCGCTGACGACGGAGCTACCCCGCCGTCGCCAGCCGACCAACGGTCGTCGCCCGTGATTGCCGGCCCACAGGAGTCGCCATCGGTTCCTGGTCCTTCTAAGCAGTCAGGACGCGACGAGATTTACGCTGAGTGTCTGTATAAGTACAAGACCGAGTGGCTAGACAGGTTTTCGTGGCTCATTCTTTTGCGGCAATCTGACGGTCTCCCAGCTTTCAAGTGCTCTATCTGTACCGAGCATGCAAGTTACGCTGGAAAGTGCGGGAAGGGCGGGAGGGGCGCGTCGGACGTACAGACGCAGGCTTTCAAGAGGCATGCTGCAACAACGAAGCACAAAGAGGCGGTCAAGCACCAGGAAAAGCTTCTTGCTGAAGCTGGCCGGCAGCCACGGATCAACGGTGACAACCTCGCTCGCGACACCGAGAAGGAACGCGTCATCGCGCTGTGCGACTCTCTGCTCTTCGTAACGAAGCAAGATGCACCCATTGAGTTATGGGTGAATTGTGAGAAAGATAGACGAGAGAAATTGATGAGAAAGGAGGATTGAACTAGAAAGCAGTTGGATACATATAACAAACCCTAACAGGGTTGTACTCACTACAGAGTACCCCACTGCAGACTAGAGAAACATAATGTTCTGACACACCCCCATAGTCAAAGTGGGGTATGATCAGCACAAGAAGCAAGGCAAAGCAAGCTCAGGGTGGATCACAATGTCACCACACATTCTGAGCACAAGAACAAGAAGTAACAGTTTAGAGTTCACAATAAATAAGCAAAGCTAGAGGCTATCACAGAGGGCAAGTGAGGAGGAGGAGGCTGGACTAATAGGAGAGGAGAGAGGAGGCAACGGCGGAAGCTGCAGACACACGGGCAACAGGAGCGGCACGCACTGTGGCTACCGGAGGCGCACCTCCGGACTACAGGAGTAACTGGCTCCGCGGCTAAGACGAGCGGCAGGAGCAACGGACCCACGGGCGACTGGCGCAGCGGCATCACTGGGCTACCGGAAGCGCACCTCCGGACTACTGGCACTGCTAGCAACACGACGGCTACCTCCACCCAACCTCCCTCTACTGCCGCACCCCCCATTCACACACCCCCTGCTGCACCCCTAGGTTCACTCACACTCCACCCCCTAGCACCACTCCGTCGACTCACACACACCCACCCCCCTCAGCGGCAGCTGCAGTAGTGGGAGACGGAGTAGGAGGAGGAGCAGGGGATGCCACACACCCGCCACCCCCATACCCTCCCCCACTGCTGCACCTGCAGCAGGGGATGGAGGAGAAGGGGCGGGGGGGGGGGGGTGCTGTGCATGGCGCGTGCAGAGGGCAGCAGGGCGCACGGGGAGCACAGGGCAGCAGGGCGCGCGGGGCGCAGCAGGGCTGGCGGGTTGGCCACACCCGCCACCCCCATACCCTCCCCCACTGCTGCACCCGCAGCAGAGAGATGGGGGGGGGGGGGGGGGGGGGCGGGGGGGGCAGGCAGTTGCTGCAGGTCCCCTCCCCCCACTGCCGCATCCGCACCAGGGGGATGGCAGATCCCCTCCCCCCCACTGCTGCACCCACAGCAGGGGGAGGGAGAGGAGATAAGGGGCGGAGAGGAGGGGGGGGGGGGGCTGGTGCTGCAGGTCCCCTCCCCCCACTGCCGCAACCGCAGCAGGGGGATGGCAAATCCCCTCCCCCCCACTGCTGTACCCGCAGCAGGGGGGGGGGGGGGGGGGTGGGGGTGCTGTGCATGGCGCGTGCAGAGGGCAGCAGGGCGCACAGGGCGCACAGTGCAGCAGGGCAGCAGGGCGCGCGGGGCGCACAGGGCTGCAGGGCGCGCGGGGCGCACAGGGCAGCAGGGCAGCAGGGCGCACGGGGCGCACAGGGCAGCAGGGCGCGCGGGTTGGCCACACCCGCCACCCCCATACCCTCCCCCACTGCTTCACCCGCAGCAGAGAGATGGGGGGGGGGGCGGGGGGGGGGGGCAGGCAGGTGCTGTAGGTCCCCTCCCCCCACTGCCGCATCCGCTCCAGGGGGATGGCAGATCCCCTCCCCCCCACTGCTGCACCCGCAGCAGGGGGAGGGAGAGGAGAAAAGGGCGGAGAGGAGGGGGGGGTCCAGGGGCGGCTGCTCCAGGGGCCAGGGGCCAGGGGCGGCTGCTGAGGTCCAGGAGCGGCTGCACCAGGGGCGGCTGCACCAGGGGCGGCTGCTCCAGGGGCGGCTGCTCCAGGGGCGGCTGCACCAGGGGCGGCTGCACCAGGGGCGGCTGCTCCAGGGGCTGCTGCACCAGGGGCGGCTGCTCCAGGGGTGGCTGCACCAGGGGCGGCTGCTCCAGGGGCGGCTGCACCAGGGGCTGCTGCACCAGGGGCGGCTGCTCCAGGGGCGGCTGCACCAGGGGTGGCTGCACCAGGGGCGGCTGGTCCAGGGGCGGCTGCACCAGGGGCGGCTGCTCCGACGCACGCCCCCCCCCCCTCCAGGTCGCCCCTTCCGTCGCCTGTTGAGGCGACCTGAGGGGGGGGGGGGGGGGAGTACGGGGGGCCGACGCGCGGCCTCCCAGGGCGCCAGAGCAGGCGGAAGAAGGGGCGACGCGCGCCCCCCCAGGTCGCCCCTCCCGTCGCCTTGCGTGGCGAGCGGGGGGGGGGGGGGGGGCGCGCGCCCCCCCCCCCCCCCCCCCGGGTCGCCACGTAAGGCGACGGGAAAAGGGGGGGGGGCGGTGCACGGGCCCCTGGTGCGCCACGACCGGCATGAGGGGGGCGGGGCCTGGGCAGGGTCGGGGCATGGCAGGGGCAGGGCCGCGATAGGGCCGCGACAGGGTCGGGACCGGGGCGGCGCAGGGCCGGGGCAGGGCCGGGGCAGAGCCGGGGCAGGGCCGGGGCAGGTCCGGGGCAGTGCAGGAGCAGGGCAGGGGCAGGGCAGGGGCAGGGTAGGGGCAGAGCCGGGGCCGGGTCGGAGCAGGGCCGTAGAAGGGGCCGGGACAGGGCTGCGACAGGGCCGCAGCAGGGCCGCGACAGGTCGTTACGGGGCCTGACGGGGCCGCTAACAGGGCCTTGCGGGGCCGTAAACGGGGCCGACGGGGCCTGACGGGGCCTTACGGGGCCTAACGGGGCCTTACGGGGCCTTACGGGGCCATAAACGGGGCCGACGGGGCCTTACGGGGCCTTATGGGGCCTTAAGCGGGGCCGTAAACGAGGCCTTACGGGGCCGAACGGGGCCTTACGGGGCCGTAAACGGGGCCAACGGGGCCTTACGGGGCCTTAAGCGGGGCCGTAAACGAGGCCTTACGGGACCTAACGGGGCCGTACAGGGCCTTACGGGGCCGTAAACGGGGCCGACGGGGCCTTAAGGGGCCGTACGCGGCCGTAAGTGGGGCCGTAAACGGGGCCTTACGGGGCCGTAAACGGGGCCTGACGGGGCCTTACGGGGCCTTAAGGGTAGGCGCGACGCGCGCGGCAGGAAGGTGAGGAAAAAAAAAAAATCAGTTTAAAAACGTGGTGGGCCCTTGGAAGGATCGATATGCTCTATACCATGTGAGAAAGATAGACAAGAGAAATTGATGAGAAAGGAGGATTGAACTAGAAAGCAGTTGGATACATATAACAAACCCTAACAGGGTTGTACTCACTACAGAGTACCCCACTGCAGACTAGAGAAACATAATGTTCTGACATGAATCTTGTTCGCTATCTCGCGGCGAAGAAGGTTCCGGGATTCCCCGCGAAGGGATACGGAACCTATTACACAACGTGAGTACCCGCTGTCAGATATTGTTCGTGATGTTGCTTTTGTTTACCTTTTGTGTAAGCACTAACATTGGCTCACATGCTCCACAGGTACGGCTTTGGGCAACTAACACAAGCGATTGCCACGTGGTTGCACACAACGCAACTCCAGCACCTCCTTACAAGTCCTTACATCGGAATTACATGTGACGAGAGCACGGACCGGTGCCGGGGAAAGCACATGATCGTATTCGCGACCTTCATCCGGGAGAATCGCGTCGTCACCGAGTTCCTTGCCCTTCTGACCGTGGAGAAGTGCGACGCTGCCTCTCTACTCTACGTGTTTGTGTCCCACCTGCAGGCCCTCGGCATCGACCTTGCCAAGATCTCTGGTATGAGCACCGATGGCGCGAGTGTGATGATGGGAAGCAAGAATGGTCTTGTCGCTCGACTGCGCCTCCGCATACCGCATCTCGTCTCAAGCCACTGCATAGCCCACAGGTACGTTCGCTTTTGTTCTAGCGGGAATCCTGATTATCCGTATCTCGGCCTTGCTTATACCCCGTGTTGCATGTTTGTGTTGTGATGTGCCTGCAGGGAGGCCCTCGCGGCAAAAGATGCAGCGGATGCAATCCCCGAGTTTGACATGGTGGACGGGCTGATCCGTCAAGTCGCAGAGTATCTCGGCCGTTCCAGCCCCTGGCACCAACGATTTTTGGAGTTGCAGGAACTCTTCACGACTACGAATCTGGAGCTTCAAGGCATTCATCAAGTCCGCTGGCTCTCCAGGGGTGATGCCGTTCTGCGAACGGTGGCGGTCTTCCCTGCGCTCATCGTCATGCTGTCTGAGTGGGACGAAACTCTGTACCAGCTCGCCACCAGCTACAGGTTCCATTTCTTGTTGTTCTTCCTTGCAGACGTGCTCGAGCAGCTGAACATCTTGAACAAGTCCTTCCAACAGCGAGAGGTGAGCAACAAGTCCTTTCAGCGTGTGCTGCACTTCTCATGATGTCTAGTTCTTGTATGCGTGACTTCTTTGCGTGTATGTCAATGCATTTATATTGTGGGAGCTTAAGCACAACACATATTGTTTGATAAATCACCCCCCCGGCTCACTTTCCTTGTGTCCCTCTGTGTTATTTCTGTCGCCCTCTCATAGCTTGACATCGCAGGTGTCCATGCGCAGATCAGGAGAACCATGTCTCACCTGGAGACCCGCTACGTCGACTGCGGCGACGATTTTGGAGGCGGGTTGAGTGCGCGCCTGTCCCCGTTCATCTTGAAGTACGGGCCTGACAGTGACAAGCCCGAGGTGACAGTGCAGGGTGTGGACTCTGACGGTCGGCCGAGTACACACAAGTTCCAACTGCATGAGAACCCAAGCGAGGACTACCCAACTCTGGGAACACACGACGCCTGCGTCGATCTCTGCACAGCATTTGCCGAGACACTCGTCAAAAACCTCAGCAAGAGGTTTGAAGACTTGGACAACCTGGTGGGAGTGAGGCTCTTCATGCCAGACGAGTACCCGCCTGGGAGAACGGAGCGCCACAAACAGTGTGTCGAGTGGCTCATGTCACTCGTCTCGCTGTTCAGGGCACAGGAGACTGACCACATCCTTCCAGGTACTCGCATTTTGTGCACCCTTGTTGTCCATGATTCTCTTTGTTCCTATGTTTCAATAGTGCCATGCCATGCATACACGGGTATACCATGCCAAGCCATCCAATCTAACTGACAATCTCCCTTCTGTTTTGTGTGGCAGGGATCGACAAACTGCGGGCGATGAAAGAACTGCGTGCCTTCTGCCCCATCCTCGCAGGTGCCCTGAATAACGAGCGAAGCTTCCACGCCGGGCTAACAGCGATGCTTAAGACAAGCGATTGGACGACTAGCTACCCCAACCTCGTGCGTCTCTGGTTGGCTGTCGCAGTGCTGCCGCTGAGCACAGTGGAATGTGAGCGCGGGTTTTCCCGCCAGAATATCATCAAATCGTGGCAGCGTGGGAGCCTCAAAGACGCTCGGCTTGAAGATCTCGTCACGATGTCGCTCCTCGACTACGAGCCTGACTACAACGAACTGGTGAAAATCTGGCGCAGCTACAAGAAGCGCCGGCCATTTGGCAATGTGGCAGCACCTCCAGCAAGAGAGGGGGAGGGAAGTGGCAGGGGAAAGGAGGCACTCGAGGAGTGGGAAGAACCAAAGGCGCAGGGGAGTGATGATGAGTCTGATTCCGATGCTGATACATGGATGATTCCTATTAGATAATAAGAGCAGCTGCTCTTTTCTAGGAAGCTACTGTAGTAACTGTACTCCTGAATTTTAAATCAAGACTTTATAATAGTTTCAGCTTTTTTACTAGTGGAACCCTGATGGATCAGTCTTTTTTTTAGCACAACACTGTCATTTCAGGCTTTTTTTTTTAGGAACACTGTCAATCAGAGTTTACACGCAAGGGGACCCTGAAGGGTATACGACCCTAAAAGTGAATCTGAGGCCCTGCTTATAAGTCTTGTAAATGGACAAAGAACTGTTTAGAAGATACCCCCTCGTAATACAATTGCCCCTAACCCCTACACTCGCTTAACTCGTACACACAATTAGGTGTCTTATAATGAGGCTACCCCGTTTATAAGAGACACCCACATAAAAGACACCCCCTGTCTTCTATTCAACACTGTCTTATATCCGGGTGATGACGGTACCGTATATGTTTCAAGCATTATGGCATGTCCAATCACCTGCCTCCTGTTCCTTCTCCAAGCATCCAGCTGCCTCTCTCATCTTCCTCCTTCCCTATACGAGATCACGTCAGGTGCCCTCACCCACGGAGCCCATATCAGAAGGCAGCAGCAGCATCTGCCCTTTGCTTGATGAGGTCTGCTCGTTGGCTCTTCCTCATTGACTCCACCAGCCACGTCACTCCCTCCCTCACCCCCGTGCTGCACACACGAATGCATGCACAGAGGTGGTTGTAAAAGCAGACAAACAGTCAGACACACTCTCTCTCACACAAACACACACGAGCAGACACACAGAGGCTTACAGGCACATACGTTCTACTTTCAACAAAGTCACTGAGTGGTGCCAGGGCAGTCAAGAAACACCCCACCGTGGTTGCCAACAATACGACGGCTCAACCTTTTGTCAAACTGCATCCGCACAAGATGTACCATCACAGGGAACTCACAGCGCAGAAAGACCCACTCGGGTCTCTTCCTCTTTAAGCTCCCACCCCCACCTCCCTTCCAATCCCTTTGTAACAACCACTTGCATTGCCCAAACACACTCTAAGCTGTTCCCACACCCTTAACTCTTCCCCCACCCACATCACCTCGCTCACACATCATACACTCATCTATGATCACACCCCAACCCTAGCACGCCCTCCTTCTCCCCTCCCCCCTCCCCCCCCCCTCATCTCACCCATCATAGGCGCACACAGGCATGACCATGGCGGAGCGCCCCTTGAGGTCCCTCAGCTCCAGGCAGTGCGTCAAGTCCTCCTCGCCCACTGCCTCAGGTAGGTCCTGATAGGTAGGACAGGGATGCGGGCGCGGAAGATAGGTAGCTATGAGATGAGGCATCTGAGACGAGTGCCCCCTTGAGGTCCCTCAGCTCCAGGCAGTGCGTCAAGTCCTCCTCGCCCACTGCCTCTGGTAGGTCCTGCAGGCTCACATGCAGGTGTGAGAGGGTGGTGAGACATGCACAGACAGGTGCCGATGAGATCTGCCGGGCATTTGAGACGACTGGCAGTGGCGATTCAAGTCCTCCTCACCCACTGCCTCTGGTAGGTCCTGTGGGCCACGCACCGGCGGACGTGGGCAAGGAGATGGGATGGGGAGGTGAGAGAGGGAGGTGAGAGAGGGAGGTGTAAAAGGATGCACAGACAGGTGCCAATGAGATATGCCAGGCAATTGAGGGAAGTAGCCGCATGCAGGGATGTCAATTACTCCAGTGCCTCTGGTAGGTCCTGTGGGGTGGAAGAGCGGAGGCTGCTACGTGATCTCCCACACTCATGCTGCCATCTCTCCCCCCCGCTCATTCCACCTCCCCGCTGTTCATCCCTGCCCCTTTGGCACGTTGCTGCTGCCTGAGCAGGAGAGAGGAGGATGAATGCACTACACCACGCTGCTTTTCCACTCGATAATCTCTTGGGGTTTAGATCACCCACATAGCATTCACCGTGGGAACTTTGTAACCACCACAAATACGATAGCTACAAGTAACATCCTCTGTGTCCGACCTTGTAAGCTTCCTTCTCCCGCCCTCCACCCGCCCCCTGCCTCCCAGTTCCCCCATGCCTCCACAGCCTTCCCCAACCCATCCAAACCTCCCCACTCCTCCCACCAAGCACCATGCACACACACCTGCTTGTTGGCGAAGATCAGGATTGGAGCTCCAACCAGGTCTTCATGTCTCAACACCTTCTCTGTAGGGGAGGAATGAGGATGCATGGGAAACATAGGCACGGGGATGAGGCAAAGGTGAGACAGAGTGGTTGTGACGCTTGAGAGAGGGAAAGAGAAAAAAGACAGAGGACAATAACTTCAGCTCCAGTTATGTTTTGATACTTCGGAACAGGACCACCATGAGATCCTCGAAGCTGAAAATCGTGTTGTAATTTACATGAGAAGAAAAGATGTATTTGGCGGTGCCATGTTAGCAGGTACATGGGATGAAGAGGAATAAGAGAAGAGGAAGAAAAGCATAAGGGTGTCAGCGGCAGCACCCCCACAAGCGAGTGGCAGCACCAGCCCTTTCTCTTTGCCTCTCCTGGTGTGCACGTAGCAATCTCACTCGTAAGTCCCAACACACTGTAGCACACACACGCATTCTCTCCCTCAACCATCCGCCGCACTCCCAATCATCACCCAGCAACTCCCCAGCAGGCCAGCACCCACCCCAAAAGGCCAGCACCCAACAAACACCCCAGCAACGCCACAGCAGGCGAGCACCCACCGAGCGCCCCTCGGGCGTCGTCGAATCTCTCGGGGCAGGCAGCGTCCACCACGTAGATCACTGCATGCGCCTCCTCGTAGTACTTCTCCCATATCGTGCGCAGCCCTATCTGCATGGGGGGGCGATTGGGGGAAAGGAGGGGAAGGAACGGGGAAGAAAAAGGTAAGGAATGGGGGAGGGAAAGGAAAGGAATGAGGGGGGTGGAGGAGGGGAAATCGGAGGAAAAAGGGGTAGGGGGAGGTGAGGATTATGCTTCTTAGGAGAAGTCAAGATTCCTGGATTAGAAAATTGTGACCCACCACGCACACAATACCCCCCTGCTTCCTCGCCCCTCTCCTCCCATCTCTCTCACCCCCTCCCCTTTGTCGGCGCTCCCCCCTCTCGGCCTGCCTCCTTCGCTCTCAAATCCACACGCCACCTGGCCGCCCACGTCCAGTCCAGGTATCCTCCCAACCTGGGTTTGTTTTTTGAAAAAAAAAAAAAAAAAACTCAGCCCCACGTCCAGTCCAGGTATCCTCCCAACCTCCCTCTCCCATACCACGACCCACCACGCATCCAGCAGTCTCCACGTTCAACTGGCCGCCCGGGTCCACTCTCCCCATCATCCTCCCTTCCCCCCCAGCTCACCTGTCCGCCCAGGTCCCAGAAGATGAGCTTCGCCTTGTGCGCCTCCCCGCGCCCTATGCTTATGCTACCCTCACATTCCCCCTCTCTCTCCCCTCTGTCGGCTCCCCCTTCCCCCCCCCACCTCAGGGCTCACCTGCCCGCCCAGGCCCCAGAAGATAGCTTCGCCTTGTGCGCCTCCCCTCTCCCAACGGCTGTGCCTCCCTCCCCTCCCCACTCTCTCGCTTCCATCTGTCGGTTCCTCCTCCCCACCCCCTCAGGGCTCACCTGTCCCCCCAGGTCCCAGAAAATGAGTTTCGCCTTGTGCGCCTCCACGCGCCCTATGTTGAGCCTCGCTCTTCTTCCCATCTCTCTCTCCTCACTCCCTTCCGTCGGATCTGTCCGCTCTCCCCATCCCCTCCCTCACCTGCCCTCCCAGGTCCCAGAAGATGAGTTTCGCCTTGCGCCCTAAGTTGAGCCTCCCTCTGCTTCCCATCTCTCTTTCCTCACCCCCAGCCGTCGGATCTGTTGGCTCTCCCTCCGCCCCACCCTCACCTGTCCTCCCAGGTCCCAGAAAATGAGTTTCGCCTTGTGCGCCTCCACGCGCCCTATGTTGAGCCCCACCGTGGGCACCACGCGGTCGGGCGGAATGCCCTCGTAGTCCGTGTACAGGCCCTTCACGCGCTCCAGGAGGGTCTGGGGGGGAGGGGGAGGGGGGGGGGGGAGAAGGGTTGTGGGCGTGGGCGTTGAGGAGATGGAAAGAGGGGAAGAGGGGGTGGTTTGAGAAAATGTACACGCGTGCAGAGCAGAGCGAGAGAAGGTGGGATGCCCTCGTAGTCCGTGTACATGCCCTTCACGTGCTCCAGGAGGGTCTGAAACGCAACGGGGGAGTGCGGCGCGGGGAGGTTTGGGCCGCATATGGGGGGAGAAGGGAATTGAGGAAAACGGAGGCGACAAGCGGTGTGCCCTCGTAGTCCTCTGCTTACCACATGCTGCCACACGCCACCATACGTCACCATGTCGATCCGCCTCTAATATCGCCTTTCACTCCTCGCACTCACAACCAGCCTCCCACTCCCATTGCCTCGGCAACGCCGCGGGCTCACCGTTGTGTGCAGGCCTTGTCACTGCGTCACTGCCGACAATGACCATGTTGATACTCATCATGCCTTAGAAAACAATACTTCCAACTCTCTTGGGAAACTCCCACGTTCGAAACCGCCAAGTTCTGCAGTGAAGGTGTGTAACACTAAATCGAGGTGACTGTAACGTCGACTCCAACGTCCGCCGGCCCCCACCGCTGGCTGGCTCACCGTTTTGCTGGCCTTGTCAATGGCCGAGAATGATATGGTTTAAGTCGACCCGAAAGGTGTGTTTTGAGTTGACTCGAACCCACCGCTGGTTGGCTCACCGTATTGCCAGCCTTGTCAATGCGGAGGATGAGCATGTGGTACTCACCATGCCTTGGAGAAGAAGTACCGCCACAAGGTGACTATCGAGTCAAGTCGTCTCACCGTTTTGCCGGCCTTGTCAATGCCGAGGATAAGGATGTGGTACTCGGCCTTGGAGAAGAAGTACCGCCACAGCCCGAGGAGCAGCGAAAACATCGCGACGCTGCGCGCAGCGCTGCGCCTCGCCTCGCCCCGCCTTCCCTCGCTTCGCCGCGACCCCGCGCCGCGCGTGCACAGGCGACGGATGGTAGTCCGACAACTTCGCGGTTCTGAAGAGTACTGGTGCAGCTGCCTAGTGGTCGTCGACTTATCTTGACGCCGGTTAGTTTAGTCGGCTAGCAGTCAGACCTAGCAGCAGCAGCAGCAGCAGCAGTAGCAGCAGGTGCTCTGAGAGCCGTGTCCGTTGCGGATGAGGAAGCGTCAGACGCAGGCAGAAGAGATTGTCTATGGTTTATCTGGACGAGACGCACAAGGGCGTTGCGGACATGGGGAGCCAACTCAAGGCAGGGAGCCACGCGCAAGCCAGTGCAGGAATTCACAGAAGAACCCCACTCGCGCGGCAGCAGACTCCTCGCCCCCCTTGCTTCCTTGTTTCTTCGCTTCGCCTTCGTCCAGCGCAATCCGCCCAAATCCTAGTCTCAAATCTACTCTATAACGCGTTGTTTGCGGCTTCGTGGTTCGAGACACGACGTTTCTGTCGAGATCCACGCGAGGAAGTAAGGAACACCGTCCGTGATCCCCAACTATACCGAGAACTTAATACAGTACGGACAGAAATGAATGAAATCAACGCGATATAAACAGCACTTTTCGTCTAATGCTATGGATTGACAATATTCCGAAGGTAGAATACTATAGTTCTAACACAGCCGCAACCGTCCTCTCTCTTCGCGCCTCGGTTTTTTGCCATCCATCATGGGCCTAAAACGCCACACAGATTTCAACGCAATGTCACCAGAGCTGCCGTCCTAAACGGTGCTACGATAATGGGCAGTGAAACGCGGAAGGGAATTCGAGCAGCTGCGTAACAACTGCGACAGCGAACAAGAGATTGAATAAGCTAAGACAGAAGGCGAATAAACCATCCGTGGAAGCCAGGCCGCGGCAGATCCCGACAGAGTTTCTAGAGAGACGGGTTACCAGATCCTAACATTAATAGTTGTCTCAGGAAGCAACTGAATTCAGTAGCCAGAAAATGCGAGTCGAGATTCTGTTGCTCGAACGACACAACCACCATGGTACTGTAGGAAGAGAATGGTTGTCAGCATGTTGAGAATGGTTAGGACGCGGTAAAAGTGAAAATATCGCAGGATCGTCTGCAAATATCGAGCCCCACAATCGAGTGGGCAGATCGATTGATGAAACGTGGCGACCGCAACGCTGTAACGATCGCACATGAGAATTTACAGATCTCCTGCTATCAGTCACATTCACACACTGCACAGAAATTTTGGCCAAAAAACGCACTGTAGCATGGCTACAGTGTAGTAAATAGGGTAACCGATCCGCATATCGATCGCGACTGACGTTCGATCGTCTACTCCTTCACCGGTCCTTAGCGATCACTGTTGCGGGTTCTGGGCTTGTCTTGTATCAAACTAGCCGTTTTCCGTCGCACAAGGGGGGAAACGGCACCATGCGAATTGTTCATTTGGGGAGAGGAGCACCACTCTCATGTCGCCAAAACTCTACAACGGACAGTTCGATATGTGTACGCATAATAAGAATACTACATCCCAAATTACCCAATTGCCCTTGTTTAACGAAATGTCATTGGAAACTAAAAAAACAGAAACGCTCTTGATTCCTTCTAATGCAAGGGAACTGTTAATAATGTACTATCAGCTTGAAGATTCTGATATCCAATTAAACACACCTGACACTGTTACAATCAGAAGGGTCCTTATGTGATCGTCAGAATTAATAACAGAAGTTTAACTACTGAAGGGTCCTTATGGTACCCTGAAACATTTCACTTTTGTAAAAAGAAGCTCTCTAAAGGGAGTACATAATCTGACCTTCCCCACTGATAGGTTCGGAGCCTTGATACCGAAGCACTCTGCCTGTCGGTCTCTTCCCGCCATTTCGAAATAGGCGATCCAAGCAAAGTAACCAGACGTGATGATATTGGTGGCGTCTGCTGATTCCATCGCGAATGCGTTTCGCAGACGTTCAGTGCCCTAGCGAGTCCCAAAGCCGCCTCCGCCTCTGCACACGCAGATTGTCACGGGCAGGGGGGGGGGTAGGAATGACGAAGCTTTCGCGTCACAGCTCCTTCCAGCAAAATCGCTTACCCAACAGGTTCGGGGTGAATGGACTATCTGCGCCGTCTGGAAAAAGCAAGCCACCAGACTGCACCGCTTTGTCACGTCCGAGGAAGCCGCGGCTAGAGGCTTGACGTTGCCTCGGAAATAGCTTCGTTCCCCTTCGCATTGCGCGAAAGCGCATGCGAGTCCCCACATCGACGGCGGAAAGTGCCCGTGCCTGCCCGCTGCGTGAGTTCCCAAAGCATCGCTCTCCTCCACCCGCCTTGACGCAGCAACCCTCTCGCTCTCCCCTCGTCGCCTGCGATCGCCTCTCTGAGTACAAATCCGCACTCCCTCAACGCAGCCACATTCGTCGCTCTCTGTTCTTCGATTTCAACTCTCCAAGCTAAGCTTGATCGCCAGTTTTGCACTCTCTCGTTGCTCTCGAGCCAGCTCTCACGGCTGCAGCATTACTATCCTAGCCAGATCATTACATCCTACGCATTCAGCTCTTCCGAATTCTCTCTCCGGTTCCACTAGCTTCGCTCCCGAGGCTGCAACAGTAACCAGTGTTCCCTCAAGGTTCGTCTCTGCTAGTTCCGCCTCTCGGTTTCGTCCTCGACACTTCTACAGGCCCGTCGGTATCCTCGAGCCTTCTTCCTCGGATGGCCGTCGTGTCCGTGCGTGCATGCACCTCGTCGTCAGCTGAGTACCCGTCCCGTATCCTCGAACGTTCTTCCTCGTTCGCGGAAGTCCTGAGCCTCTGGAGGAACCGCGACGTCCTTACGCAGTCCCGAATGCAAGTTGAAGTGCCGCTGAGCTCCGCGACTGCATGCGCGGTGCCTTGTGAGCCAACTCTTGAAGTTGAAGCGACTGTGGAGTCCTGTAACAACCACGGCCCTTATAACAACGGGCAACCGTGTGTTAAATATAGATCCTCCTTAACAATTTATTTAAAATCAAGATACAAGGCTTTCAAGATTAAACTAATCCCACCAAGGGATATTCTAGCCTAACAGTGACTTGAAGAGTTGATGAAGCTTTAGTAGGTAGGTAGCTAGCTTCTGGTAGAGCTTATCCTTGAGATAGCAGAAGTCTAGTTGTGTAGGAGAGCTTATTAGGAGAACCAAAGACTTAGAGTGAAAATCCCATTTCCAAGTTAGATTGTTGGAGTTGGGAAGTGGGAATGAGCTTGAGAGCTCCAACCCCTTCCATCATACCCCTTGGGGCTCTTCCCAACCATGGCTTCCATGGTTGAGGAGCTAATAGGCTTGGAGCCTATGTGGCACTTTAGTTTGGTTGGGGAAAACCCAACTTAACACAATTGTATGGTTGTTTTAAACTTTGTGTGGATTGTAACAACAACTGTCAACTTCCCATTGGTTGGAAACCCAACCTTGCACATTCATTTGGTTGGGTTGGAAAAACTTCCCAATCTTCAGTTTTGTTGGGTTGGAGAGTCCCAAGCCTCAAAGTTGAGGTTTGGAATACCAAGCCAACCTTTCTCTCCCAACTCAACCTTCAACTCCTGTAGTCCGATTTTTGTCGAGACATTTCTCGACCTAGACGAGGAAGAAGTTAGGTGGTGCGTTACACTCCTCCCCCCCTATGTGGCAACGTCCCCGTTGCCTTAGGGTGCTTCTTAGGACGAGCGCTACGAGCACGCCGTGTCACATTACGACCAGGGTCAACACCATCCACCGGTTGTGCGGCAGCTCGTCGGGCCAGATCTGTCATGTATGACTGAATTGCAGTTTCAGTCAGATGCTCCTCTGGTTCCCATGAGTTGTGTTCAGGCCCATAGCCTTTCCACTTGATGAGGAACTCTCGTACTGTCTTGCGGCCGCGCTGTCAATCACGATGCATCAGCACTCGTTCGACTTCATAAAACAGTTCCTCCCCCAGGACGATCGTTGGTGGCGGCAAGTACTTGCCCTCTGCAACGTACTTGTTCAACAGAGACACGTGGAAGACGTCGTGAATCTGTAGTGTATCAGGTAGCTTAAGCTTGTAGGCCACCACACCAACACGCTTGATCACCTCGAATGGCCCAATCCATCGAGGGAACAACTTTCGTGCTCCAGGGATTTTGAGATGAATGTTCTTCGTGCTCAACAAAACTTTGTCTCCAACCTCAAACGAGACTTCCCGGCGTTTCATGTCGGCGTAAGACTTTTGTCGCTGCTAAGAGAGTTGCAGCCAATGGCGAGCAGACTTAAGCGCTTCTTGCTGCTTGCCAACGAAGTCTTTAGTGGCTGGAATTTTCAATCCACCGATCCCATGCGTAGCAGGTGTTGTGGGATGCCGACCACAGTTCAGGATGAAAGGTTTCTCACGTGTACCTTCATGAACTGAATTGTTCACTGCGAATTCAACGACAGGCAACAACTCGTCCCAATCATCCTGAGTTGGGCCAATGAATGAACGAAGCATCTGCTCAAGTGTCCGGTTTGTTCGTTCCGTCTGCCCATCTGTTTGTGGGTGGAACGCCGATGTCATCTTGAGCTTCGTCCCTAGTGTCCGTGTGACTTCTCGCCAGAACCGACTTGTGAAGCGCGGATCCCTGTCGGACACCAATACACGTGGTAACCCGTGTAAGCGGAAAACGTGCGCCACAAACAATTTGGCCGTATCTTCCGCAGATACGTCAGTTGTAGTAGCCACGAAATGCACCATTTTTGTCAGACGATCCACAAACACTAGGATCGCTGTATGGCCATCGCGAGTCTTAGGAAGGTCCGTGATAAAATCCAAGGATACGCTCTCCCAAGGTTCATTCGGGATCTCGAGTGGTTGAAGCAACCCACCAGGCTTCTTTGTGTCCGTTTTATTTCGTGCGCATGCGTCGCAGCGCGCCACGAATTGCTGGACCTCAGTGCCCAATCTCTGCCACCAGTACACATCACTCAGGGCCCACCTGGTCTTCTTGACCCCTAGGTGTCCTCCGTACTTGGTGGCATGCACTTCTTCCAGAATATCATTCTGCAGGTTACCCACGTGAGGTACAACAATCTCCTTCTTACGCCACCAGAGCTCATGCTCCCACTTGAGTTCCTTCGTGTTTCGTGGGTTCTGAAACCAGGAGTCAATTTGATACCCTGTGCGGATGCGTTTGAGGAAACCACTGAAGGTAATCTCACTCACTCGAGCCGTTGCTAGGACACTGAAGAAGGCAGAAAATACTGCCGCATCCTCTGTGTCGTCTAGCCGTGTTGCTGCCCCTATCGGCTGTCTGCTGAGGGGGTCAGCCAGGTTCGTCGAACCCGCTCGATATCGAATATCGAAGGTGAACCCACTAAGGAGTTCCGCCCATCGGGCTTGACGTCGAGTAAGCGTGGCTTGGGTGGAGAAGTAGGTGTTTGGACAGTGATCAGTCGTAACCACAAAGTCCACACCCTCCAGATAACATCGCCATGTACGTAGCGCATGAACGACCGCCAACAGTTCTTGTTCGGATGTCGTATAGCGCTGCTCTGCCGGGGAGAGCTTTCGACTCTCAAATGCCACTGGTCTCCCTTCTTGCAAGAGGACCGCCCCAATCCCAATCAATGAGGCGTCAGTAACAACCTCATAGGGCTTTGTTGGATCTGGTAAAACCAGTACCGGAGCATTGGTCAGCATTCGCTTGACCTTGTCGAATGCCTTTTGGCATTGTTGTATCCATTGCCAAGCACTACTCTTACGAGTGAGGGCCGTCAATGGAGCAACAACGTAGAATAATTCTGCAAGAATCGACGAAAATAGTTCGCCAGTCCCAAAAACGACCTGATTTGACCCACATCTTGTGGTACCGGCCAGTTCTAGACTGCGACAACTTTCTTTGGGTCTACTTTGAGACCATCATTTCCCACGAGATGGCCAAGATATTCCAACTCGCGTTTGTAGAAATGACACTTCCACAGACGAGCATAAAACTTATGCTCTCGAAGTTTCCCTAACACCCACTTAAGGTGTCGCGTGTGCTCTTCTTCCGTCCTGGAGTAAACCAAGATGTCATCCAGATAGACTAGAACGAACTGTCCAATCGCCTCGCGAAAGACATCATTCATAGCTCTCTGAAAAGATGCAGGAGCATTGGTCAAGCCAAAGCTCAGCACTCGCCACTGAAAATGACCAGACGGCGATCGGAAAGCCGTCTTGGGTACATCTTCTTCGGTGATGCGCAATTGGTGATACCCCTGCGCGAGGTCCAATGCGCTGAACCACTGGGCACCCTGGAGTTTGTCGAACAGGTCCTCTATTCTCGGTAGGGGATACCTGTTCTTCACCGTTATCTTGTTCAGAGCACGGTAGTCTACGCACATGCGTAACCCTCCGCCCTTTTTGTTCACGAACAAGATCGGCGCTCCGTAAGGTGATGCGCTTGGTTCAATCCATCCCTTCCTGAGATACTCCTCAATTTGCTGTTTAGCCTCCTCGCACTCAGCTGGACTGAGGCGATACAGAGGTCTAAAAGGTGGGAGTTTTCCAGGCTCCACTGGAATGGTGTGACCGACAGCACGTTCCGGAGGAAGGCCATCTGGGATGGGCTCAAAAACCTCCGCAAACTCGTCCGCCAGTGCTTTCATCTGAGGCGGGAAATCCTCGACCCCAGGCATCTCGTGTTGAGCATTCTCAAGCTGTACCACAAAGAAGGTATCGGCTTGTCGAACATGCTGTCCGAACTCGTTTGCGAGCGCAAAACTCACATCGTGACGCTTCGACGTTTGTTGTTCGTTCGTGATCAAGTCCTTAGGCTGCCATTGGACTGTGTCACCATTCTTTAAGAATGAGACAGTATTGTCCTGGAAATCGAGCTTGACTTCATTCGCTCGAAGCCAATCCATTCCAAGGACAAGGTCGACGCCTGCAAGAAGGGGTAAAACATACGCGCAGATCTCTTCGTGATAACCCTCAATCTCCATGTTGATCCGTGTCTGCCCTTTGCTTGGGATGATGCTATCATCACCCAGGCGAATGGGGCAAGACGGTCCTTCAACGAGGATCGTGCGTGCTGTAGCCCACTTTTCGTCAAAGAGGGAAACAGTTGCACCCGTGTCAACAAGGATTTTTGCGTTTTCCCCGTTCACGCTACCCGCAAGCAACAAATTTTGTTGATGCTTTGGGCGAATAGGACATGCCACAATACTCGTCGAACATTTTAAGTACACCTTGACGTTGTGACGAGCGCGTCCATGTGACTGAGAGTTGGTCCACCACACATGGTGTCCCTTGTCCCACGCCGCTAGGACCGGCCATCCACGAAGCGCATGGAACAATTCGCCTTTCACTGTGCGAGTCACCAACGCGACCGAAGTCAGGGGGTGCTCTTGAGTGCAACGACTCACAATCTCAATGACAGAAGGCAGAATGTCCAAGCCACAAAAAACAATTGAAAATTTATCTTGCAGTGCTTCCATGGAAATTTTCTCAAGTGGGTACGATCGAGGATAAAAAACAGAGTTTTTATTAAAAGAAGAGGCAAACAAACAAGAGACTTTGCAATCAGCAAGCTTCTCTAGCTTTAATATATCATCATCACATAGCACATATGCCTCATCCACTCGATCTACTCCTCCAACTAGGTACCCACACCCTAGTTGGGCTTTTGAAAATCCTTCTTTCCAGAAGATCCAGCGCCGTCTTGCTTAGGCTTCCCAGAATACTTGATTGGGTTCTTGTTACGGCACTGGGATGCGATGTGCCCCATCCTTCCACATCCTTTGCACCGCTTGTCTGAGAAATCCGGCTTGTTAGGACCATGACCTCCCCCTCCGTTAGGCCTCTTGGCCTGTGGACCCGGCTGGTGATCACGCTGCTAGAAAGGCCTTTTGTTCCTACCGCTTCCACCCTTCGCATTCTGGGGCTGGTTCCCATGACCACCAGAGCCTTCAGCACGGGGCTGTTGGCCTGTCTTTTCGGGGCCAAAAATGTACGTGCGAATGATGTTGTCGGTTTTGATCACCTGCTCCTTCATTTCCTTGTAAGTCGTCCAATTGGTCATGCCGCCGGTCATGTGTGCCTCCTGCAGGTTGACAGGGAGGCCCTTCATGAAGATGTGCATCATCTCCTCCTCAGCCAAGGGCTTTTGGAGCAAGCGTGCTGCGGCCTCAAACTCGACCGCATATTCCAGCACCGAACGGTCATGACATTTGATACGCTCAAGGCGTCAGCGCAGTTCGAGGTCGGACTTCTTGACCATGAATGCCTCTTTCAGCGCGGTGCAGAACTCCGGCCTTTCAAACGGTCCCTGCGCCTGCTTCTTAGCGCCATACACTGCCCTGCAGGCCACCTCGTCCAACGCACGAGTAGCTGCAGTGACGCGAGCCTCGGGGCGCACATTCGCAAGGATCATGGTGGAATCCACCAGGTCGAGCCAAGGCTGCACCTCCGTCTTGTTATGGTTAAACTCAGGCAGAGGCGCCGAGAGAGACCCAAAAGGCGAGGTCTCAGTTGGAGGTGGCTGATGCATAGCCGTCGCAGCGCCTACCGCCGGGGGTGCGGGCGGAGCGGGTGCTGGCTGAGCAGCAGGAGCGGGCCTACGCCCAGGAGGAGGTTCGTAAATACCCTCCCTCCTAAGATGGGTCAACTGTTCATTGAGCTTGTTGAATGATGCTTGCAGATTCTTGCAAGTCTTCTGAAACCACTCAATTTGGCGGTTTTTAGTGCCCAGGCTGCGACGGAACTCAGCCTAGCCTCGAGGTTCTGAGTGTGCTTCTTGAGTTCATCAATGGACGTCTGCTGCTGCAGGATGGTGATATTCTGAGTTGCCACCTTAGCCTGGAGTTGGACAATCTCCTCGGAGATAGGATAAGTCATGCCTTCACCCTCAGTGAAGTCATTTTCATCACCAGTGGCCTCCTTTCCACCGGTGTTATCCTCTTCCCCAAGGTTGTCAGCTTCACCATGGTTCTCAGCTTCACCATGGTTCTCAGCCTCATCTCCAAGGTCCAGGTCCAAGTCCTCAACATCATCCAACTCAAGGTCAGCCATTGCCTCATCTTGATTGAGGTCAATCTCAGCAGCATTGTTCACCACCTCATTAGGTGCAGTGGGCCCTTCCTCCCTTGCCATATCCTTCTCTTGGCCAGATCCCATAAGGATTAAGGGAGCTTGTAAGATCTGGGTTGATTCTGTTAAAGTCTTTTTACCACCTCAATGGTAAAGCAAGAAATTCGTATAAAATAAATTTCTTCTACAGAATAATCCAAGTAACCAAAGGTAACAGATTTGTTGTCAAGCACTCCCAATCACCTAAGTGAAAGGGCAGGGTCTATCCAAATCTCAACGAAGAGAACTTGTATAACCCTCAACAAATCCTCCAGATCCAAGTTTATACTCCACTACTCAACAGTAGAGAGTCTTCCACCAAAAGGTGGGCAAGAGAGATAAATCTCTCTTCTTAGCTTGAAGTTGCAGTTGTAGATCTTGTAGATCTTGAACTCTTCAAGCTTCCACATCTTGAGTGTTCTCTTAATGAGAAACCACAACTCCAAGATCTATAAAAAAAAAATATCTAGGGGCAAAATCCCCACTAGGCTTAGGATAACCTTAGCTCTAGATACCAATGTAACAACCACGGCCCTTATAACAACGGGCAACCAATTTATTTAAAATCAAGATACAAGGCTTTCAAGATTAAACTAATCCCACCAAGGGATATTCTAGCCTTAACAGTGACTTGAAGAGTTGATGAAGCTTTAGTAGGTAGGTAGCTAGCTTCTGGTAGAGCTTATCCTTGAGATAGCAGAAGTCTAGTTGTGTAGGAGAGCTTATTAGGAGAACCAAAGACTTAGAGTGAAAATCCCATTTCCAAGTTAGATGGTTGGAGTTGGGAAGTGGGAATGAGCTTGAGAGCTCCAACCCCTTCCATCATACCCCTTGGGGCTCTTCCCAACCATGGCTTCCATGGTTGAGGAGCTAATAGGCTTGGAGCCTATGTGGCACTTTAATTTGGTTGGGGAAAACCCAACTTAACACAATTGTATGGTTGTTTTAAACTTTGTGTGGATTGTAACAACAACTGTCAACTTCCCATTGGTTGGAAATCCAACCTTGCACATTCATTTGGTTGGGTTGGAAAAACTTCCCAATCTTCACTTTTGTTGGGTTGGAGAGTCCCAAGCCTCAAAGTTGAGGTTTGGAATACCAAGCCAACCTTTCTCTCCCAACTCAACCTTCAACTCCCGTAGTCCGATTTCTGTCGAGACATTTCTCGACCTAGACTAGGAAGAAGTTAGGTGGTGCGTTACAAGTCCACTTTTGAGTCGCCTTCGGAGTCGACTTCCCAGGCTATTCCCGAGGAGATCTCCGAGTTACCTCCCTCGGCAATTTCTGACTCGATTTGTGAATCGACTCACGACCAGTTCCAGCTGCAAGTGACGCTGAGCTCCGCGCCTGCTGCAGAGGAGGAGACGGAGGAGGATCTGAGGAGTGACTGCGACCAAACGAGCGCTGGCAGCAACGACAGCAATGATACGATTTCTGTCAGCTTTTCTGTCACCAACAGCAACGACACGAGTTGTGACAAGCACGTGAGGATGGATAGTGCTGACGCCAGCCCCAACGCACTGCCAGCCTCCCTTGTGCTGCTCCTGCACTCGCTGCTGTTCTTGCTGCAGCTGCACTTGCTGCTCGCGTCACTGCTGCTGCCGCTGCTGAGAGTGGTGCTGTCCTCGTGGATTCCCAAGGCAGGCAGCACAGGAGCGCGTGTGAAGGTGGGTGGTGTGGAGGGGAAGGCATGGAATGCACGTGGTGGTGCTCTAGCCCACCAGAAGCCCACAGCAAGCAGCATGAGGCAACAGCAGGAGAAAGAGCACGCTGTCAAGTGCAGAGGGAGGAGGAACGTAGGCAGCACCAACAAGGCAGCAGCAAGACCTCTTTGGAGGTCTTGAAGCTGCTGGCGCCACAGAAGCAAGCACAGGGTGATATTTATCTGTGGAAGCACAGAACAGAAACGGCTCCAGTAGCTATTACAGTCTCTGTCTCTTAGATAGCTGTGTGCAATCTTGTACTACCGTAATACCCCGGATAGTAGTGTGAGAATAATGAGAGAGGAATGAATGAACTAGCAAGCAAGTGGGTACAAGTAGGAAACCTAAAAGTGTTGTACCCTATATGGACTACCCCACTACAGCCTAGATAGACTATAGCATATAAGTTTGACAAGTAGCGCATATGCGCTTATAATAAATTCATTTTTTTTAGGGGGGGCGCTTGTAATTGAGTAACGGCCATAAGCGCCGGCGCTTTTATAAAGGCAAAACTGAATTTCAATGTAAAGGATATCATTCTGAAGCCCTCAATAAGGCGAATACAACACTGTACCATGCGCGTGGGGTCGTGCATGGAATGACAGCGAAACTTGCCACGGTTCGATTTCTCACCGCACAAAACCCGTCCCGGTGCAACGCACCTGCCAGCGCTGATGCAATACCTGCCGTGCGGCCCAATCAGGTTGGCATGCGCTGCCAGGCAGGAGCATCTCGGCAGAACCATCCAGAACGTGATGGAATCTGCCGTGCCAGCGCAGCATGGATGGTGCCCCCAACCCTCCTCTGCGGGTTGGGGCAGGGGTGTACTCGTCTCTCATCGACGAGGACCCCGAGCCGCAAATCAGAAGGGGTCCCCTTCAATCTCCCATTTCAACACCCAGGGTTGCAGTTTTTTATTCAGTCTTCTTGTTCTCGCCCGCCTGGCTGCAGAAGCCATGGCGGAATTCACAGGCACTAATTTTCTCTTCAAGGAAAAACCTTCCAGTAGGCCCGCGTACCGTGTTACAGCTGACGGGTGGTATAGCCGCATACCTCCAGACACTCCTGAGCCACCACAGCCTCCTGCGCCTCCTGCGCCGCCTGCTCCTCCGGCTCCTCCAGTGCCTCCGACTCCCCCTGCTCCTCCTGTTCCCCCGTCTCCTCCGTGTCCGGTGGCCCCTCACATCGACAACCACCCCGTGCTCACGCTCCTGCTCCCATCGGCGTTCGACGAGTATCTATTGGAACCGGATTATGACAAGGGCCCCGATGTTGACGTACCCGCTCTAACGCCAGCACCACGTTGGGGCCAGCCAGAAGATTTCACGTGTGACGAATCTGCAGTCGGCGCTGACGACGACGTGCAACACGCCGAGGAAGATTGGCGCGCTGAGGGCGACGCCGGCGCCGAGGGTGGCACAGAGGCCGACACCGAGGCCGCTACTGAGGCCGGCACTGCTGAGGATGTGTTTCCCGAGGGTGCGCCGTGCGGTGATGACGACGACGGCGTTGAATACTGGTCACGCGATGGCCTCCCCGAGAAACTCCCGATACCAACTTATCCTCCACGTAATCGAAAGCGACCTCACCCTTCTTCACAGAACCGTGATTCTCGCCCCCCCTCTCCTAGGCACAAGCCCAACGACCACAAGCACCAGGCATATACTGCCGCCGAGAAGTTGAAGGGGGTCGCGCAGCTGGATGTGGCGGTGTCGGTGTGTGCTCTGGCTCGCGAGAGTGGCATCCACCGCAAGTGCCTCGCCAACTGGAAGCGTGCCGCTGATTTCCTCAAGGAAGCCCACTCTGCCAGGTGCTGCATGCACGGCCACGGTAGGGCGTCGTGGTACTGCCCGATGGAGATCAAGGTGTATTAGTGACTGCTCGACAAGCGACGCAAGGGAACTGCGGTGTCCGTCGGCCGCCTGCAGGAGTGGTCCCGGGAGTTCATGAAGATTCTCTACCCCCTTGTGAAGTGGAAAGGGAGCCAACGGTGGCCGGACCGGTTCCGTCGGCGGTGGAATCTCAGCATGCGAATGAAGACGAAGGTCGCCCAGAAAACCGCCGCCGTAAGAATCAATTTTATTCTCTATGCCATGTGTATGCACTTGTTACTCACTAACCATAACTGTGCTCAACCGGAGATGTCGCGGAGCAGTGCAAGAAGTTCTGGCAATTTGTCCGTGACAAGCGTCGGGAGCGCGGCATCGAGACGACGTGGATTATCAACGCCGACCAGACGCCGCTGTGGCTGGAGATGCCCGCCACCAATACCGTCGATCAAACCGGTGTTCGGTCGGTGCCCATCAGGAGCGCGGGGTACCAGAAGGAGCGCGTGACCGTGATGTTGGCGTGCACGGCGGACGGGATGAAGCTGAAGCCGTGGGTTTTTTTCAAGCGGAAGATCGTGCCGAAAGGGATGTTCCCGCCGGGTCAGTCATGATTCTTTTTTGTATGCTTTTCATCGGTCCCGTTTTTTACGAGAAACTTAGAGAAGCTTCTTTGTTATGCAGATTTTGTCGTGGCGTGTCACGAGAACAGCTGGATGGACGCGAAAGGCGTCATACGATGGCTTGAGGAGAGCGTCAAGCCCTTTTTAAAGCCTGGGTTTGGGAGGCATGCGCGGAGCTCGATGGTCGTACTGGACTCGTACCGCGGTCACCTCACTGAGGGGGTGAAGGAAAAGTTTCGCGAGCTCAACTGCGTGCCGACGATCATCCCGACTGGCTGCACGGCGGAGGTACAGCCCCTCGACGTCTACATCAACAAGAGCTTTAAGGCGAGCGTCCGCCAGCAGTATCAGAAGTGGTTTCAGGAAGAAGGCCAAGAACAGCTAACCAGAGCAGGTATGATAGGCACGCGAGTCCCTATCTTACCGTAGATTATTGTCCCCCCTTTTGTTGCGCTAACTAAATATTGTGTGATTCTGTTGGTACAGGGAACTTGAAGAAGCCACCCCCAGAGGTGGTCGTGAGGTTGATCTCACGGGCCTGGAAAGCAGTGCCCGCGGACCTCATCAAGCACGCCTTCCTCACCTGTGGCATCAGCAACGCGCTTGACGGCAGCGAGGACGGCCTCGCCATGGCGCACAGGCGGAGCCAGCTGACTGTGGAGGTGGACGTCGATGATTCCATAATCGCCGATGGCTTCTTTGGCAACAACTGCCAGGAGCCCGAATCAGACGAGGAGGAGTAGATTTTCTAGGTAGAAATGCTTAACTTAGCAATTTCTAGTTTAGTGTCAGTGTTAGTGTCTATAAAACCGTATGTTGTAGGTGAAAATTTATCATGTTCATGTTTAGTGTTAATTGTTGTTCATATTTCGTAATGAAACCTCCACAACGTGAAA